AACCAGATAAGCGCAAGGTAAACAGTTTGCGGCTGGATGGTTCAATGGAGCGAAACGTTTGGAGCTGACGATGTTGGACCTCAGCAGACCGTTTCAGTACTTTCGAGACATGTTTATGCTCAACCATCTTCAATTTGCTATCCCAAACCTAGACTGAAACTCATCAGTCGGGCCAGTGAGATTATGCGTTTTTGCACTTTTCGTGCCATAGCACGATCGCAAGGAGTCACAGCAGCCGACCCTGCGACATATTGGCCCTCGAAGTTCGGGAGGTTAATTGTGCAACTATGTGGTATGTCAATTGTAGATGTCGACTTCAGTGACCCGACAAATGGAAAGTTACTGGTCCGTGAAAAAGAGTTAAATTTGAAATCTTTTAGTCGCACATGAGTAGGAAGCATTCCCTTAAAATTAAAGCCTTCAGCTTTTCTCGAGTTAGCAGTTTTCCCATCAAAATTTTCATGTGTCCATACGTGAGTACCGGACGGTTTTAAGGAGCTGAATTTGAAATCTTTTGGCCACACATGAGTAGGAAACATTACCCTAAAGTTTTAGCTTTCTAGCTTTTTTCGTTTCCAGGTTAGTGATTTTCGCGCCAAAATTTCCACGCGCTCGTACATGGGCTCAGGCGCTTTTAAACACTTGATTTTGCTCGTACATGAGTAGGGAACATCCCTTTAAGATTTCAGCTTTCTAGCTCTTCTCGTTCCCGGGTTAGTAATTTTCGCGCCAAAACTTTCACATTCAGTGTACATGGATCTCGGGCACCTCCAAACAACTGATTTTGATTGTACATGAGTAGGGAACATTCCCGTAAAATTTCAACTTTCCAGCTTTTTTTGTTCCCGGGTTGGGACTTTCGCGTCAAATTTCCACGTGTCCGTAGGTGGGCCCCGGGCGTTTCTAAACACCTAATTTTGGCCGTGTATGAATAGGAAACATTCCTCCAAAGTTTCAGCTTTCTAGCTTTTTCCTTTCCCGGGTTAGTAATTTCCGCACCAAAATTTTCACATGCCCGTACGTGAACCCTGGACTGTTCTAAAGAGCTGATTTTGAAAACTTTTGGTTTTGCATGAGAAGGGATCATTTCCCCAAAGTTTCAACTTTCTAGCTTTTCTCATTGTCTGGTTATGAATTTTTCCGCCATAATTTTCACGTGCTCGTACTTAAACCCCGGGCGGTCCTGGGCAGCTAAATTTGAAATCTTTTTGTCATACATGGGCAGGGAACATTCCCCTATGGTTTCAGCTTCCTAGCTTTTCTCGTCCCCCAGTTAGCAATTTCCCCGCCAAAACTTTCGCGTGCTTGTACACGGGGTCCAGACGTACGCGAAAGTTGATACCGCGGTCCTGGAGTGGCACTTGGCTGGGGAACACACTGGCAAAATTTCAGCTTCAAAGCTTGCGTGGTTGATGAATTGAAATACCCGGACAGACGAACACATACACATTGACAGGGCCGTTGCAACGTGCGTTTTTACTGCCTGTTGCAGCGTTCTAGCGTTGCGCGGCGAAAACGCATAAAAATATTGGTAGCTTCGTGAGACATGGGCATGCCCAAAGCTGAATGTAAATTCTTTGGATCGCACGTGGCCAGCAATCATTTTCGTAAAAATTCACTTTTCGTCTTGACTGGTTTCTAAAATTATTTCCGCAAAAATATCTTTGGTGTGTCCGTACATGAGAAATAAACACGTGAACGTTCATTGTGCACCGAGAACCCTACTTACGACAATGTACTAAATTGCGACGCAGGGGATTCTTGGTGCATTATTTGTATAATGTTAAACATGGTTTAGATGTGTGTGACTGTTGGAATTGCACGTGTGCGTCATTGTGCACTTAATTAATGTGCACCTTTTTAAATGAGCCGCTTTCCGAAGAGAGCATCGAGGAGGTAATCCGTCTGAAGTGGATTTGAGCTGTTGTCAGCAAATGGCATTAATCGAGAAATTGCACGGTATGGACCTGCAATACCTCATTTGTTGTACCATCCGTCCTTCATCGTTCAAGTATCCGTCTCCCAGAATTGCCCTTTCGCTGTAGTAAAACACGAGTTCCAGGCAAAGCATCCAAACAAGTGAATGAAAGATAGCCACTTAACCTGGGAAACCTCGACGCCTTTGCTTCAAATTACTAAACTTTTTTTATGCTTTTGCAAAAAACGCATATTGTAGAGGAAGTGTGTATGTGTGCGTATGTGTGTGCGTAATGTCTTCCCAGTATTTATGAAGACCTACTACATTTATAAAATTTAAATTTAGGGAACTTGGTCTGCCATTACAAGCGGTCTCTAAGCGTAAAATGAGCACTCAGTCCTCCTGGCTCTTACGTACGTTTGCATAAAAAATATTTTGGAAAGAAAACAATTTCGGAGACCAGACAAGTTAGAACGTCAAAACTTCACGAAGATGTTTCTTGCCCATTTGCGACCCAAAGAATTAATTCAGCCTTCACGCTTCAGGTTTCACACACATACACATCAAAATTCAAATTAGCGCCATTCCAACACAAGGATTAGGCTAATTAGGAAGCTTTAGAGAGCTATAATTTTAAGATGCTGCTGATGTCCATTCATTTCCCCGTGAGAGTAAATTGTTTTTCATACCCCTACGCCTCAAAAACGAACACGTGAAATTTGACGTAAGTCCGCGACCAAAGCAGCTAGAACGCTAAAGCTTTTCGAGCATAGTCGACCACCATGTTTGAACATCTGCAATTTGACGCTGGAAATTTTGC